GCCGAATCGATCGGTTTCCCGTATTCGCCCTTGGCTTCGCGGTGCGAGTCGCGAGGAAGGAACGAGCTGGATTTTCAGGGCTTGGTTCCTCGGAACTAGGTTTTCCCTTCGGAGCTTGCGTCCATTGGCTGCCTGAGAGCGTAGAGGTTGCGTACAAGTGGGCAGAGGCGCCATGACGCGGCAGAGCAACGGGTACATGGAGCGGCGCGGGGGCGCACGGGGCGGGCGGGGCCGTGGCTTCTGCAGTCGCGGCCGCGGCGGCGGCGGCGGCGGGCAGCGGGGAGGCCAAAGGGGCGGCCCTGGCGGAGGCCACAAGCCGCCGCCGCTCATGTCGCGCCCCATGCCTCCCCCGCCAGGCATGAGGCGCCCGCCGAACATGGGCCCCCCACACGGACCTATGGGGCCGCCACCCCCCATGGGCCCCCCACCCGGTAGGATGGGTCCCCCCGGCCCCGGTAGGAGGCCTGCGCCCATGGGTCCACCCGGCAGGATGGGCCCACCTGGACCCGGACCTATGGGCCCTCCCCCACCCCGCGGCGCCATGGGCATGCGTGGTCGAGGGGGCATGCGGGGCATGATGGGCCCCCCTCCCCCCATGGGCCCCCCCTTCAGACCTGGACCCCCTGGCCCTGGCATGATGGGGCCACCAGGACCGCCCATGAGGGGGCGAGGCAGGGGTATGCTTCGGGGGCGTGGGCCCATGCGAGGCCGCGGGGGGGGAATCCTCAACAAAAAGGACAAGCAGGTAGGCCGATAATCTCTCGTATGATGTGGTGGAAGTTGGGGGATTTCTTGGCATACATGGTTTGCTTTTGTTATTGTCTTGATATGAAGAAGTTTGCGGTTATATATATAGTTGTAGTCTTGTTTTTAAAATCCATTGTCGTAAAATGGCAGCACGTCCACCGTTGGTCTTGCACCAATCAAAGTATCTTGCTGTAGTATACTTAGAAGAGATGTGTTGGCCTTTGCTGAAGCACATAGTATAGACTACAACAATTGTTTGACACTTAGTTATTATCAGCAAGGACTTGAGGTTGTAGTCCATGCATTACAATGCATTAGTTTTAAACAGATGTGAATAGAATACAGCAAATATGGGAATTCTTTAACAATGCAGTTGCACTTACCAGAGACCATGTCCCCAAGGAATTTTCTCAAAGGGGAGAGTTAATAGGAGCCTCTCCCTCCTTTATCACCCCCTGGCTAACATGATCTTCTCTAGGGCACCAAGTGGACTGTGGTGGTGGTGGTGGTGGTCTCTGCGATCTTTTTCCTTTGTGTGGCATTACTGTTCGTGTCTGCAGATTGTTTCTTGTACTGACGACTGCAACTTTTTTTCTTTGATGATAATGTCATCAACAAATTATCTTGACGCTCAGTACAGTTTAACCTAAATATAATTTTGAGAAAAAGTCCAAATAAAAAAATTCTGTATTTAAACTCTATTTCTAAATATATTCAATAATCTATGTTGCCATGACTGGGAATGTCCTTTGATAGGAGACTCTGCCTCCAACACCCACCTGGCAAACATTGCCTTCATCTCAATATGTACAGCAAATTGGAGCTGAAATCAAAGTACTGTGTGGACTTAGGCTTTGTGGTGCTTTCCACAATTGTTTTAATTTATTTGTTGCAGAACCTGTTGTCTGTAGATTATTTTTTGGACCTGCAACTGCCATTACAAAGTGCTGTATGATCTTGGAAGTCTAGCACATTTGTTTTAACCATTAACCATTGTCCTCTATGTAAATATCATCATCAATTTGCCCTAGTTCAGGGTGTCCACACTGTAAATATGTAACCTATCTGTCTCTCTCCCTCCCACTCTTACCCTTTTCAAAGGTTCTCCAAACCTGCCAGACAGGGAGGGGATCCCCCCTAAGAAAGTTTTGCAAGAAAAAGGAACACCAATGCACTGTATTCACATAAAGCTTTGGAAAACTTTCCGAACATGTCAACCAAGAGTACAGTAAAATAAGTATGTGGAATGGATACCTTGACGAAAACTAAGGCACTTTTCATTTATTATATAAAATTACATGTTTTTATCAAGAGCAACACACCCTCCATAGATAAGACCCAAAACTGGTGTATCATTCAAACTCAAAAATCCAAACCTAACCTGCCAAAACAATTTTGTATAGAAAAGAGACATTAAGAACTTTGGCTGTGTGAAGGCATTGTTTTGACTTAGTCTCTGAGTGGTGATATACACAACACGGCCGTACCTGTGTTATGTATTACTATTTCTTGTGCTCTTTAAGATGGCAGTGTCGATTTCCCTCAATGCATTGCTCTTGGTAATGTTGACCCATTCAGAATTTTGAATTTTGTCAGTGAATGTCATGCGAAACAAAAAATTAGAGAAATTTTATAAAATGTTTCATACCTGCTTGAAATTTAAGTTGTTCAAGGTTTACTTACCTATATAACATACTAAGTGCACAGTATTTGTGGTTAACTCTATGCCTCACAGAGCTATAGCATTAAAGCC